TAATAATTCTTTGTATACAAAAAACAGTATGTATGTAGGTCATAAGTCAAGTTGGGCTTTTATATCAGTGTCGAGACATTTACAAAATATTCTTTTCAATATAAAGGTCAGTGTGGTTAAAAATCCCTACTTTTACCACTGATAAAGGTCGAAGAGATAGGACTCTATTTTGAACTCTCACAAATTCCAGGAATTCGCAGATTTTATTATCGCAATAAAATAATCAAATATATATATTCTTTGGTACAGGACGTATAAAATAAAAAAACAGCGCGTAGATTCAAGCTAAAAGGTTTTACGGATCGATCAATTATAAGTGGAAATTAAATCGATGAGAAAAAAACAAACAAAAGAAAGAATTCTATTTTTAGTCGAAACGGATCTCGATATCCCAGCTTCCCGACTTTTCGGGACGAGCGTCTTACCACCAAGCATGTGCCATGGAAATACTTGTTAACAATAACCAGTAATAGCAGTAAGAGAACGTCATTTTTTCAAGGAGACATGTGATAAACAATTATAAGTGGAGATTAGATCGATAAGAATCAAATAAGAGAAAGAATCCTACTTTTGATCGAAATGAATTTTAATACTTAATAATATTCATATATGAATTTGCAAAATTTGCAATTTTGCAGTTCTTAAGATTTGATCAATTATTGAATGAAAGAATCTTGCGTTCTCAACAGAGGAGATCGACGAACTGACAAAAGTTTGCACCGATTTTCCTGTTATGTATTCTTTAAACTGTTTAATTTTTTGCGACGTAGCATTATGATACCCGTCCGGGTCGCAGCGTGAGATGAATCGGGCCGGCGACGTCGTATTCGATTACCGTTCAAGAGGACAGGTGAAGAATATCGAATACACGTGGAGCGATCTGTCGTAAGAGTCGTTAGGTCATGATGATGGTAAGCGGCGAGGGAGGTGGTGGAAAAGAAAAAAAAGGTAAATGCGCCGGGACGGACAGTCGTTGCTGTAGAAGAACAGACGTCAGATTAGAAGCCACGGCTCGACTGGCACACATACATATTTTTTATTACATAAATTGGCGCACGAAGGTCTTCCCTCTAGAGAGAAGTTATCGCGTTAATGCCTATTACCACGTATCCGCCCTCGCGCTTACCGCAGGTGAATTTGTGCGTGATTTCGTCGCATGAACTTTCCCCATAAATGTCAACGACTAGTCCGGAAAAGAATGAAAAATGAATAAACTTGAAGTCTCATCATATGCTACTAACGCATTGATACAAAGTGCTCTTTGAAGAATATAATCGGAAAATGGTACGAAACTGTTTCGACAATTATTTCTCAATAAATGTCAATTTCTCAAATTATTTCCGCAATATTTTGCACACAGAAAGGTCATTATTGTGACTACGTACATTTTTCTAAGAATTTATCTTTCCTCAATTACAGTTTGCCAGTTAAAATTTTTTCAATTTTCGACATTAAATAATTGATAATTACTCGTATCACATTTAACTATCGATTTGCAATAAAAAAAAATAATTTGTAAAGATTGTGAGCGTTAAGGATAAATTCGATCGTGCCGCGAAGAAATCGGCAGTCGCAATCCTGCAAAAGTTGTTGAACCGAAATCCAATACGTGGAATGGTTATCCAATCACATTACAAGCCTCACTTTTCTATCGTGCAGTGCCGGTCAATTTGACAACTCCGTTGGACGTAATCTCATCGAATCACGGTCATTCATTTAATGAGATTAATTACGATTATTCATTTTAAACTAATGTCATTCGCTTTAATTGCTGCGACATTACTTACTGCAGCGTCGCTTATCAAATTAGGTAAACTGAGAATTTTTTTTTCAATTTGTGACGAGAGCAGTTACACGAACAAACTTGCTATTTGTCGTAAAAAATCCTGTTGCGTGAAATCGTGAATGGAAATAGTCTGCATTTTGAGATTATTAAATTATATTAGATCTGTTCTTTTTGGCTGAACTTCTGACAAAGTTCATCTTTCTTCCTTTTCTGTCCACGTTGGAGAAAAGAAGAGAAAAGACGAATCGTGAAAGAAATTTAGCCAAAAAGAACAGGCCGATTATTATTCTTTTAATGCGATCATGGTCAGTAAGTGCGATATTTAATTTCATGAAATTTTTCTCATACTAATAAATACTTATCGATCATTTGTAACAATTAAAAAAAATATCCAACGAGGAATTTCCTTAAAGATGGTTTGTTTATAAAAAAATATATTATCTAAATTTATGTATTTAAATAATTTTAAATAACTTTTTAAGAAGTTTATTAGCTTCATCATTAAAATAGATAATTGCAATCTAATTTGAAATATTAATTCCAGTTTCAGTTTGCAATTCAAGTTCGATAAACGTTATTCAACGCGCAGTTTACAAAACTGAAATAATATATTTACAAAAAATTTACATTAAGTACTGAAATCCGCTTTGACCGAAAATAGTTATTTCTAGTGATTTATTTTTGTCGGTCTAATTCGCGATTTGTAATTGTTTAAATAATTTTATACATTTATTTATGTATTTTTCATTTCTTCTCAGAGAATTGTAGATTATTGTGTGGACAAAAAATAAAAAATGCAGAAAAGTACAAAGTAAACCATGTATTCAAAGAATTCTGTAGTCTTTTTGAAAAATTTAATTACAACTACTCCCTGAAAGAGAGAGAGAGAGAGAGAGAACTGCAAATCATATTTTATTTGCTATTGGGGCTTATGCATCTCTCAGTAGTATAATCAAGGTGTGTTGCAAAAAATGTAATAAAAAAGAACGTTACTTGGAAATATTAAAACGCATAAGAACAAGTTTTAAGTTGCTTCCCCTGGTGTATATTTGCAATATTCCATATTAACTGAGAAAGACGTAAATTTCTTTGCAAATTCAAAAAAATTCGATATCAACTACGCGCGAATGCATATATTAGCATTTCGTTATGGCAATGAGTTTCATTGTGCTATGTATCGCGTTTTTGTCAGTCACACGATAATATCGTATCATAAATATGAAATAATTCTCTTACTTAAATAATTCTCTACTTAATAATAATTCAATCGGTAATCTTGAACTATATAATAATGTAGTGCTCTATAATAGATATTGTAATACGATTCATATAAATTATAAAATGTTGATACCATGTATCATTAGTACACTATACTTCAAATCTTATATACTTAACTGTAATATAAATTAATGTTTATATATAAATAAAAATTAGCCATTCGTATTTGTCTTTTTGCTATCAACAAATATAAAATATATCCTTCATGATGCAAAGTATATTCAAAATTAACATTCTGATCCATGTAAGTATTATTAGCACCATACTTTGAATCTTTTTGTAGCTGTAATGTGAATCAATTTTGTAATTTTTATATAAAAATAAAAACAATCATTTATGCCTTTTTTCATTATATAGTAAACATGAAAAATATATCTCCTCACTTTATAATACAAACTACAAAGAGTATGCCTCTTTATAGTAAGATTAATCTTGTATAAGATGCACAAAATTCTTATCTAAACAAGCAATTCCTAGACTAAAGTTAAAGAGAATTCTTGTCAGTAAATCGCGACAATGCAAAAGAAATCGTCAGTGTTCCGTTCTCCTCTCTATCTCTCTTCCTTTTCGCAATCAATTCAAGCCTCCTCCATACCGCGCTTCACCTCTCGCGAGGACTCGAGGCATTTCTGGAGTGATATTGCCAGTGACATGCATTGTCCCATATTGTGACACAGAGCCACCCCTTTCCTCCATTTAACCGAGTCCTTCCTTACTCTGCACCTACCGCAGTCGGGATGTTTTACATAATATTGAAAATGAACTTCTGGCTCAATGCCTGCACGTTCTGCATATCGCAGCCTCAATATTCCCTTCGATTACGTTTCCACGTCTGTCTGAGAAGATGAGCAGACATATATTTTTAGTCTTGACCTTCAAGGTAAACCGATCGTGGTAACGAAACGGCGCAAACTGAACGCGTACATGTAAACGATCGCGTCAGTCGTTCACCTAGAGAATATATCAATTTTTTTTACTCAATATAAGATTGATATATTATCATATTAATTTTTACTTTATACGATATTACAGCACGATCTTGAATATCAACTCGGGATAACAATGAAACATTAAGTATTATGTGTTATGAGCATTTGTGATAATCAAATGAAACACTATACTGTATTCATCTTATTACATTCATCAATAACTTGAGCTGCTTTGTCAGATTAATGATTATGTAGTACGGTTAGTAAAAAACTGCGAAATTAATCGGCGCAAATAGGAATATTATTGCCATAATTTATCGAATTAATATAATGCAGTAGCATTAATATTGTCGCATAAAACGCAACTCTCGGATTAGCTTGTGCCGCAATGGAATTACGATTTTCTTCGCCAGCAAACTAGTTGGTCACGTAAAATAATTATTGCGATATGATTATTTACACTCTCATTTTCTTCCTAAATATGTCACGCCGATTAATGCCCGTCAATTTCCATCAATGTAAATTAATTTTAATCTCCGTTCAACTTACTTTTCATTTCTTTTTCTAGTTCTGAGATTTTTTTAATTAGAAAAAGATGAAGAGTGAGTTGAGACTATAGTTAATCTACATTGGTGGAAACGAGCATTGTCCATTAGTTTCGGCCTTGTTATTAAATCGGGAAGAAAGTATAATTCGGGTTTTTTGATGAAAAATGTTTATTATAATAAAATGTTTAAAAGATTATTTTCAGTTGAAATAATTGCCGTTTGTTATTTCCCGCCAATTTTATAGTAAAAGTTGGATTCCGTGGAGATAAAAGGGCGGTTTTTTCGCAGAATCCAATTTTTATCAGAAAGATGGCAGGATATAAAACAAACAATAATTCAAACAATAATCATTTTAATTATCTAAAGATAATTTTTTAAGCATTTTATTGAAAAAAAATCCGGATTTTTAAAAATGTTCTCCCCGACCTAGTATTTCTATTTCTCTCTTGGCTAACTCACCGTGCGTATCAAACTTCCTGATGATTGTTTCGATGATCGTAGTTCTGGGCGCCACGTGACCCCGTCTAACAGGCATCTCAGGAACAGGATTCCCAGATACCTGGGCAGCCGAGACTTCCGCGTTGAAGCGTGTGATGGGGCGCACCGGGCCCGATCCCTCTCAATTAATATATCGCGAAGTAACACTAAAGCACTAGGAAAACACTCGCGACGTAGAATGCACGAGCACGGTAGAAAAAAGCACAGCACGAGTTGAGCATAGCGATTAGCCGTATTAAGACAGAATAACGTAGAGTAACGTAATGCGACTTTTTCTCACGAAGAGGAGGAAAGATTCGTTGCTGCGATCGAACAACACGCGGATCAGCGATGTATCTCCGTTTTACTTCCTTCGTCCGCTTCTTAATAGATATGAAAGAGTTTAGCAAAGCTAAACGAGAAGAAAGAATCTTCGTCCAGATGCTTCTATTCCGTGTCTATCTCACGCGTTACAGGAATACCAGGATGCAGTCGTTGTTTTTAGTCTCGTTCGTTCTCGCGGTGTATCGCGATCCCCTTTTCTTCTATCTTATATATAGCCCCAGGGTTCCAATTAAAGAGACCTATACGGTCAAAGCATCAGCAATATCGGTGTCCCGAATGGACTGTCAGAGAGCACGGTTGCGTTTTCGCTGTACTTGTGAAGTGACTTGGATGTCGTCTCCTATTCGACGACGTACGTTTGGACCCGGAGTTCTCGTCTATCTAGATATACGTCTAAGATCGTCGGCGCGGGGCGTCACGACGATTCCTCGACTGCCTAGCCGTCGAGCCAAGGACGCGGGGAAGGTCGGTCCCACTTGCGGTCGAACAGCCGGCATACGATGTATCGCACGTGCACGTGTTGTCACTTTCGATGTGCGTGTGTGAGGAAACGCATATTTATAGCGAATAGATGTTACAGATCGACCAATGGTGTTCAGGATCGGGATGGCTGGCGATCGGGCAGTTTCTCGCGAATCTCCCGCGCAATCTTGGTCGATTTAGAAGAAGCTACGACGACAATGCGTCGGTCACTCGCCAGCAGCGTCCGTCTTCGAAGCGATTTGTCGTCCTCTCTCGTCGGCAACGTCTCATATCGCTTCGATCGCCGTTCGTCACCGCGTGAAACCAGGACAGGACGCGCGCCGATTTATCTCGCACGTTTTAATTTGTGACCGTGCGCCCTGATACGATCGGGTAACACCAACGCGGTGGCGTCGCGATGCGGGTCAACAGCCTCGAGGCTTCGATCCTCCGGGAGTTGTCGTTTCTGACCACAGGCACTCCTACGTAATATTCGCCAACTTCGTTCGACCTCGTGGGATCGGGGTCAGGCTTCGCGGCGACCGAGGTCGTGGAATGCGGTAATTTCGGAGAGGCGCATGGCTCGGACATCTCCACGACGTTAGTCGTTCAATCGCTCGTGTTCGAACAAGGGAATCTTCGACGAGAAGGGACGGCTCGATTTCGCTCGATTTCGAGTCGATGGCCGTGTGCGAAGGGAAGAAGGCGACGCGCGATCCCGAAAATATGACAGGCGCGCCCAACGGATACAACGATGGTAAAGGCACGTGGTGTGTATGCAGTCGAGTTTATGCGGAATGCCGCGATCGGATCGATTCCTCGTCCGGTCGCGTCCCGACGCGAGTCGCGGCGCTCACCACCGCTAATCGAACGTCCGGCACTCGCTCCCTCTTTCCTTATCTCACTCTTTCTTTCTCGCTTTCTCTCACACACTCTCTCCCTCCCTCTCTCCCTCTCTCTCTCTCTCTCTCTCTCTCTCGCTCGCTCGCTCTCTTCCTCTCCGACGTGGCTGGTCAGCTGTGCATCTCTGGTCAACCACGGGGACAGCTATTTTTGTACTTCTTCCTCATCCTCCGCGACCATGCCCAACCACCGCCGTTTGTCGCGATTTCTCTCGAGACTCCCTTCGGCTCATGCAGCCACGTCGAGCCACGGAAAATCCTCCGTCCACGCTTTCCGAGTCACCGCGGACAGATGAACATGACTATCAGATCGTCACCGCGGAGAAGATTATCGAGAGATCGGTCAAGGTTTTTAGGCAATGCATGATAGTATCACTAGAAACAGAAGTGGAGCACTAAATTAGAACCTAGTTTTGATGTACATCTTATTCCGATTTTCAGTAGCGAGGCTGCCAATTTGACAGAGGTGCATAATAATCCGTGGAATAAATGACGTTTCTCTCTTTCCCCGTCTACACCTCTTTCTTTCGTCTGTTCCCGATCTTATCACTTTACCCGGTCACGCACCTGTCTCTACTGATACTTGGATTCACATCTCACTGTCAGTCACCTATGGTTCACGTGGTTCCGTAACTGTGCTATCTTGGTGCAGTCGGATGAACGCGCGCAAACGACCCACCACGCCTTCCGCGGGTCGGTAGACCGAATCGCAGAGATACGATGCCCTCTCGCTGACCTCTCGCTGGCTTTCCGACCCTCGCTCAGTTGGTCGGTCGGTCGGCGGTGACACTCGGTTCACCAATCACCCCCTGCACTGTCTCCGGCCGACGCACTCCAGAGGAAGGTCGCCGAACACTGTTGCTCCGCCGCGTGCTCGTAGCTTTCCCTCACCCCCGTATCACCGGGGTGTCGCGATCCGCACGAGGTGTTGTCTCGGAGGCGTCTTTTCGCGTGGGTTTTCGGCTTTGAGTTGCCGACAACGGCGTCGCGACGCCACGGACGCGATACCTTGGTCGCTTCGACCTGAGTCTCGCGTGGTTTTGGCGAGTCGCCGTCGTGTGTTCGGTCGGAGAACTGAAAACGCGAGAGGAGGCGCGAGACGGGTCGACGTCTCACTCTGTCTCTCTCTCCCTCTCTCTCCCTCTCTCTCGATGACGACGACGTCGGCGACGGCGACGGCGACGACGACGACGCCGGCGACGTCGGTACGTAACGAGAGGGGGGGGGAGGCGTGATCGTGTACGGCGCCTGCGTATCCCCACTTTAAAATCAGCCACCGTAATCACCCCGGTCGTCCCGTTAGTCTCCTCCGTTGGCTTCCTCTCTCTCTCTCTCTCGCACCTTCCTCCACCGCACCGCGCAATGACCGCTGATAATATTGATAAGACTCCGCAAAAGCTGCGGCGCGCGGCCACTCTCCTCGTCGGCGCCCTTCTATCTTCCGCGCCTGCAGGGGGTGACGAGCCTCGGGGTCACCGCGTATGTAATCTACGAGGACGTAACAACGTCACGCATTGTACTCTCAAGCTTTATTTCTCCGTTTATTCCAACGCGACGACCCGTCCGCGTCCGTCCGACGCCATGTAGATCCTGTGTGTCAAACTAATGCTACGTGTTTTCAAGTATAACAATACGAATGCCGATTTCCTCCGAATGAATAGATGATTAATTATTTTTCTCGCGATCTTTTGCGGCTCTCGATGAAAGATATGTCCTCCACTAGATAAAGAAAAATTTAGTTCGGGAAAAAGCTTTTCTACAATTTGAAAAATGTTGGCATTTTGTGGAGGAAAAATCGGCGTTAGTTTGTTGGAGACATTGCGGGGTACACGCGAAAGAAATAGGTACTAACAATAAGTATGACGTATAACGATTGCTCCTTCTATTTTTCTTTTCCTTTGCACATAGTCATTTTATTCATCTTGTGCCAAAGATAAAATAAAATAAATATCTTAATTTTTTTTGTGCGAGATATAATATAAACGTTTATAACAATAATACGTTAAACTAGACCATTTATGTGAATGACACAAATAACAAAGAAACGTCAAGTGCGACTGAGCTAAATCTTGATATCTTACAGAAATCTGTAATACTAGCTAATTTAATACTGAAAGACAGTAATTAATCACTTATTTAGAGTATTAAAAATATTGTTGTTTAGCGCTTTTATTACTCCAGTTAAGTAATTAATTACTGTCTTTCAATTCCATACTCGAAGATAGTAAATAATTACTTATTTGGAATATTAAATCCACTGTCGTTCAGTGCTTTTAATATTGCAAATAAGTAATTAATAAGTAATTACTGTCTTTCAGTAATTAAATTAATCAGTATTAAATGAGCTAGTGTTAGATTTCTATAAAAGCTAATAATGTTTCTATGTAAATTATTAAATATATTTTTCAGAATGTAAATAAAAAAGTTTTATTAATTCTTTTACAAAATTGTAATTATAATTGACGAAAATATGTTTTGTATATTTAGATATGCAATACAAAATATATCTTAAATATTAATTTGTGAAGGCATGTGTCAAATCAAAGCACTGCCAAAATAAGAAAGATTTTACAACAAACAGACTTTCAATGAATCACGAGGTGCATCCAATCGCTCATTGGGCGGTCAAGCGGTGTCTACGATGAATTTTAAGACGCAAAATTTAAGCTTTAAACTCTAAACCGTAAGAAATTACAGTGACCTTAGTAGCAATTTATGGTGAAATATCAGTTAAACGTTGGGAATATATTGAGCTAATATTTTGGTAATATTATGCCAATAATTGTGCTACTAAGGGAGCGGTTGCGCTATATAGTTATACTGAATGTACCCAATACAGGCATTGTGGATTCAGCCCGTTACTCCGCATCCATCGCGATCTCTGTCGGCAAACTTCAGAAGCATTGTGGAATTGTCGGTATTGACAAATAGAATCGCGGGTACGGTACTACAAGAATTATCACAGCCAAGATACCAAGAATTCACTTTACCAACATAGCGAGACGAAAGATTTACTTTGCTGTAATAAATTTTTCCCTTATATCCATTTCTACTAATGCGAGATAATTTTAATTTTTGTTCATCTTGCTTTCTATCTTTCTTTAGCTTTTATCTTCTTTTAAAAATTTCCAGAAAAAGATAAAGAATAAATTAAACCAAGATTAATTAAAGTTTATTTACATTGGTAGAAATGGATCTAAATAGAATACGTTTTTTACTCTGTAATGTACGTCTTTAACTTCATTAAAAAATATACTTGCGTGTGATATATTTGTATTGTTCGAGAATTATAATATTCGTATCTTATATTACGTATCGCTTCCGTCATATTTGCGTAATAATAGAAACCAGGGTTGTATGTTTACGCGAAAATATAATAGCTTACATTTACGTTTGTACATTCGTGGACAATGAGGTTACAACACTTTTTTCTTAATGAGTTTCGGAATGCAGTCCACTCAGCGAGCAAAATCCATTACGAAAAAAGTATTGCAACCTCATTGTCCACGAAGTACAACGTGAACTATGTAAACCATATATGTGTTACGGTCATCTATGTAAATAGTGGGTGCGGTCAGTAGAACACAACGGTTTTGCAATCGTATTATGATTGTCTGCTGAGATAGGATCATTTCTCTAGATCTAAAAGTATAATCCAATCAGCGCGAAGAAAACAGTTGCAAAATAAATATTCTGCTGAACGCAATCGATCTAAAGAGAATAAGAAGTCAAAATAGAGTCAATTTGATGTAATATTGACTAATTATTGACTGAATTTATATCATTTTTTCGTCATGATTCAATCATCCAATTATTGTGACTTTCTTGTTTTTCTTGGATGTGGATCATCCAAGCGTACATATTCTTTGTCGTATTGTTACACTATAATATAGTGCAATAAGCTCTTCGCATATACATTTTTATTTATCAATACTAAATTAAGTCAGATATATTAACAATTAAAACCCTTAGTTAATTATTTAAAAATAATTAGAGTTAACGGATTCTTCAAATTAAAAAATAATACGTTTTTTATTTATACTGATTGGATGATTATTTTCAGAGAAAAAATTTATAAAGGTAGTCATTTTTCAAGTTTATACATTTTTTATCTCAAAAACCATTGATTTAAACAGAAAAGTCTCGAATACAAAAAATGTCCATTTTCATCCAATCAAGCTTACAGAATTTTTTCGGAATTTTTATTCAAAGTTTAGATTTTTTAAACAATTTAAAAAAAAATTGTTTATAACTACTCAACGACCACATAAAAGAAATTAAGTGTATATAGATGTTTTTCCCCAGAAAAATATGAAGAATTGAATTAAATCATTTTCAGCATCTGGAATGTTGATTGGTCGGTTAGGGCACTTTCTAAGTGACTTTTTGGGGGTAAACCGTTTACCTATTAACGGCAATTTTACTAGCTAGGGATGTCATTGCGCAGATACAGTATTTTAAAGGTGAAAAAGCTGTGCAACGGCAGTATAACGAACTGTCGTTAAAAGTTACAGAAAAGATCTACTGACCCTCAATCACCCTTTAATACTCTATAATATTTTAATTAATTATTTCTTTTGTGTTACTCAATTTGTAAAAATTTACATATTTTACATTACTTGTAATTTACATTGCTTATCTACACGAAAAAGATAGTGTAAACTTCACGTAAACAGTAACGCAAAAATTTCATACATGTATCTATGTAAATGTAATCTCGAAATATACGATACAACTCTGATAAAAACTATCGTGTATATTACATCGATACAAATTACAGAAACGGTGAGGTTGCATTGGGCGCATAAAAGTATCATAATATCCGTTTCTATCAATTACGCTGTATCTTTTTCCTACAATAATTTTAAGCGGATTAGAAGGAGATGTAAGAATAAATCGAGATGAAAGTTAAGGCAGGAATACAGAGTCTTGGATAGCGCATAACGCATGATAAGGAAATGAAGCAAAGAGTCCTTCATTTCCTTCCTTTTCCATGAAATGAAGGACTAATTAGTTGATTCTTTATGCTTTATGCAAAGATC